GCGTGGGAAGTTGGACCTTTTTTTGTTTTTTTTTTTTTTTTTGGCAGCTGATGAGGATGGCACGAGACGGGAAGTATCTGATGCCACGCAGAGAGTTGTAGAAGCACTGGCTGAATGTGCCTTGTCCGAGGGGACGACCTCTGGAACCAGTGCCTTCAAGCGTGGGCGGTTTCAGGTGTGTGGTCTAATCATGTTACCTAATGTCAGTCTGCATGCAAAGGACTTTTACCCGCTCAGCTGTTTACAGGAGAAAGAAATGCCGCTCTAAATCATTCTTCCATCTTTCCTGCATTACTAGGTCCTGCAAAGAGCCGATTGTTAGGGGTCACAAGTATAGGCACTCAATTTATTTTTACAAAATGTGTCACTATGGGCAAAATCAAAAATTACATATGTAATATGTCAGTAGTATTAAGGTCTGGGCTTTTTTTTACCTTAATGCATTCTCTGCATTAGGGTAAAAACGGCCCAGCACCTTTGTTCTACCCCAGTCCCCCCCACACATACCAGTCAGCTGCGCTTGTCCCCGCCGCCGGTCCCAAAGCGATCCTCCGTTCCCCGAACTTCCGGGTTGCGGGGGTAGGATACTGATGACAGAGGAGCCATGGGCTCCTCCTGCCATCAATCGAAGAGGGAAGGGGCGTGGCCTGCCACAGGGCTTTGTGTGTCTATGGACACACACAGCCGATGTGGGCACGGGTGCCTCCATTAGAACGATGGTGGCACCTGTGCGGGGGGAAGAGCATGGCGGGGACCCACTAGAAAATGAGGAATGAAGAACTTTGAAAGAAAAAAAGCAACAGCCTCCAGCAAAGGAGGGTCCACTTAAAGGAGAAATAAAAACAGAGCAGTCCTGAGTTCCCCCATAACTGTTTTATTACTAGGTAATACTGGCAGTAGATCCATTGGGGGGGAATGCATCAAAACTGGAGCAGACAGAATCTGAAGCAGTTGCCCATGGCGACTAATCAGCATCTTTCTTCAGTTTGCTCAGGTAAGATATAAAAATTATAAAGACAGCGAAGCTGATTGGTTGCAGTGCAAATCTGCTCCCATATTTTGTCTGCTCCAGTTTTGATAAATTCCCCTCATTATTTTTTCACTTCATGTACCAGACCAAGCTGTCTGGCAAAGGTGGCTGTTACAGGGTTGGGAAAAACCATATTACACTGGCAAAGGTGCCTAGAATCTTCAGCATTTGTTGATATGGGTTACACCTTCTTCCAGAAAACAAAATGTTGCTTTAACTACTTATAAAGTGTTTATTTTATCATCTGTTGAGACACAACTTATTATTCTTAAACGAAGGCCTGCCCCTTTAAAGCTCAGGCCCCTCCCACCTCACCAGTTATGCTTGGTGTCCTTAGGACAGCAGTTCTCAACCTGTGGTTCACGACCCAAAAGTGGGTCGCAGTCCCCTCTTGAGTGGGTCGCTGCGTCCCTTCTGCTGCGCGAGGTGAGAGGCTCCTGAACCTCCTCCTAGCACAGCAGTGTCAGTCACTCCCTGGCTGCCAGATGTGGCTGCAGCAGTCAGCGGGGATAAGCAGAGGGAGGGTGCGAGTGGGAATGACACATGGACAGTAGGGGGAGGAGGTTCCCTTCCCGCGGGTACTGCTTCACTGACTGCCATGGGCCGTCTATCATTCGGCCAGGAGGGGGCCCATCGATGCATGAATGCTGGCTGTGCTGAGTGTCTCGGCTCCCATTGTCTGCTCCATCCACTCTGAACACTTAACTTTCCCGTGCGCTGTCACCAGGCTCCTGCTGTGAATGAGCAGCATGTCCTGCCCTGAGAGCCGCTCCGACCCCTCTAATCCCGGCCACCTATTTCTGCTCCTGGCTGCTTTGCCTATTAAGGAGGCTGAGCCGGCCACCTAATCATGGGGCTGCAGCCCTTGGAGTTCAGTGACTGCTACCTCCATAGCCCCTGGCTCCGGTAGAAGATCCAGGCACCCAAGGGCAGTGCTGGAGAGATACAATAAGTGCATTAAAGACCTGATCGCTGCCAGCAACAATGAGCGAGACCTGGCCCAGGGAGCACAGGAAGAAGGATGGCACAGTATGGTGGGGTGGGGGGAATGGCACAGAATAGTGGGGGAAGGATGGCACAGTACAAGGGGGGAGAGAGGGGCTATGCAGGGGGAAGGATGACAGTATGGGGGGGAATGGTGCAGGACGCGGGGGTGAGGTTGGCACAGTACAAGGGGGATGGATGGTATAGATCAATCATCTGGTCAATGCTACATCCTTGGTGTACATCCATCAAGAAGGCACCAGATGCCAAGCATCTCAAATAGAAGTTGAACTACTTTGGCCTGTCATCCCTATGCCTATCCCTCAAAACTCCAGCCCCAATGCATGGGTTAAGTGCTTGTTTTGTCTAGGGGAGTCAAATAAAACAGATATACTCACCTGATGCTCGGTCCCCCCTGGCTACTAGACTGGTCCCCGCAGCCTCTTCTCAGCTTGGCAGGTACAGTGATTGACAACTGTTGTTAGAGCGTATTGGTTTCAAAGTTCTAATGGGTTTTTTTTGGTTTGTTTTTTTTCTCTGCAGGTTGTTACTGTCCCGCAACAAGAGCAGCGCAGTAGTAATGAACCTGCCGGTGTCCCTCCCACATCCCTGCAGACACAGAAAGCCATCCCTTTTGAAGAATCAGGGTCTGCTGAAACCAAAGCAGAGGAGACGCCGCAGTCCGCTAGCACGGCGAGCGAGACAGATACCTCTTCTCTAACCCCAGACCGGGAGCTAGAAGAAACCTCTGCAACTGGCAGCAGTGCTCAGTCTAGGCCTACACTGTGGATGACAGATGGCAACAAAGAAGAGAACAACTTTCCAAAGCAGCCAAGTAGCGATTCTGAATTGTCTGCCGCTCCCAGCACAGGGCAGGAACTGGTCGCCCGGCCAAACAAAGTACAAGAGGCTGAACAAAACTCGCATGGGGACAAGGCATTTCCCCAAAAGCAAAACTCCCTTCTGTACTCTCCATCATCTCCCATGAGCAGCGACGATGAGTCTGAACTAGAAGATGAGGAGTTGAAAGGGGAGCTGCAGAAATTGCGAGAGAAGTTAGTGTGTTTTTTATTATATTTCCGGCTGTTTTCTGTCATTTAAAACTTCTTAATGTACTGTGGAGGGTTTGCCACTTTCTGTCAACTGTTTTCTAATTTTGGCCCCCAGCATGATGATTTGCTAAATGGCTACCTGCATTTCTTCTCAAACTTCTGTGCTCCATTGCTTTGTGTGGTGTTATGTTTGCCAAAACCTCAAAATTACCTAAAAATGACCTCATCATGAAGATGACAGGTTTTCAGGGACCTGTAGACCTAAGGTTAGAAGCCTTCCTTAGGGCCTTTCTTTTTCTTAGAAGGTCTTGCCTGCTTTCATGACCATGTCAGTTAGTTGGACTTTAGCTGTCTGGTTTAGGGGTTGTTCACGTGATGTCCGGGATCTGTCCAGACCAGAACAGTTTGCTCCTGCACTAAAAATGCATCTCAATGTATCTGTGTTTTATGGGCTCCAGTTCTCACCAGCAGCAAAAATACTGCATGTCACATTTTCTCTGGTCCGGAACGCGCCGGAAACGCACTGCATCTAACTGGAACAAAAAAAAGAGGTGCACCGAAATGGAAATTTTAAAAACGAAACCGAAATAAAAAAAGTCAGGCCGAAACCGATACCGAAAATGTTTTTATTTTTTTAAATATTTTATTTTTTATAAACTTTTTAATTTTTTTATATTTTTATTTTTTATTAAATATTTTTATTTTTTACTTTTAGGGGCTTCGGGGAAATATTAGGGGTCTAAACAGACCCCTGATATTTCCCTTTTAAAATAGAAAAGGAGATTGAGAACACAGAGTCCGCAATCTCTTTTTCTGTATCCCCTTTTATCAATGAACAGGAATCCTTTATGAGTGTTTCTGGTCATTCATAACATGAGAACATTGTTTACTGAATGAATGATGTAGATCACTCCAATTCATTCATAATTGAGGATATAGTTAACATACCATATCCTCAATTATGTACACACACTCAGCGATCACTGAGTGTGTGTACATTGCTTTTCTCTGACACGCTGTCACAGGAGGCTGAGCGAGGGGTGTAGAGAGGAAAGCCCAGCCTCCTGTGACAGCGCTGTATCCGCCCCCACACCGCTCTGCCGGACTGTGATAGGCGGCTGAGCGGTGTGGGAGGAGAGACGCCGGCCGCTCACAGCGCTCTCGTCCTGCAGTGCTCGGCAGGCTGTCAATTTCTTTTCTCCCCGCTGGAACACAGAGCAGGAAAGAAACCAGGGATGTGCCGATATATATCGGCCAAAACATGGCTCTTTCGGCATTATGCCAAAAGTGCCATTTTTGGCCGATATGTTTCGGCGCCAATATATCGGTGCATCCCTAAAAAAAAGTGTATTCTTGCTCCACTTTTGATGAAGGGCAGAAGTTACCTCAGAGCAAGAATCTGCATACTAACAGCCCCCCCCCCCAAAGAAACTGGAACGCGGTGAAAACGCATCAAAAACACGCTGCACACATTGCTCAGCGTCTGCAGATCTGCTCCAGATCTGGACCAGAAAATGGTGTGAACAAGCCCTTAAAACTTGGCTTGGGACCCTGGACCATCTGTACTCCAACATCTGAATGTTTTGCCTGTGGCTTTGCACTAGTATTGATGGATTAGCTTCTTCAAATATCCAAGATGAGCCTTCTTTTGGTATACAGTGCATTCACTTTTTTCAATTTTATTCAATGTTGCAGCCTGATACTAAAGTTGTTTAAATTCTTTTTTTTGTTCTCGTTAATCTACACTCAGTACCACATAATGGCAAAGTGAAAACAATTTTAGAAATGTTTGCAAATGTATGAAAAAGGAAAAGCTGATATAGATCGCATTGGCATAAGTATTCACACCCTTTGCAACAACACTTGAAATTTAGCTCAGGTGCCTCCTCTTTCTCTTGATTATTGCTGAGATGTTTCTACACCTTGATTGGAGTCCACTTGGGGTAAATTACATTGATTGGACATGATTTGGAAAGGCAAGCACCTCTCTATAGAAGGATTCACAGCTGGCAATGCATACTGTATCAGAGCAAAAGCCATGAGGTCAAAGGAGCTGCCTGCAGAGCTGAGACAGGAATATTGCAAGGCACAGATCTGGGGAAGGCTAAACAGAAATTTCTGATGCACTGAAGGTTTCCAAGAGCACAGTGGCCTCCATAATCCTCAAATGGAAGAAGAACCAGGACTCTTCCAAGAGCTGGTCGCCCGGCCAAACTGAGCAATCGGGGGAGAAGAGCCTTACTAAGAGAGGTTACCAGGAACTCGATTGTCACCCTGACAGCTCCACAGATCCTTTATGAAGATGGGACAAAGTTTCAGAAGGGCAACCATCACTGCAGCCCTCCACCGATCTAGCTAGATGGGAAAACACATGAAAGCCCGCTTGGAGTTTGTAAAAAAGCACCTGAAGGACTCTGACTGTGAGGAACAAGATTTGCTGGTTTGATGAAACCAAGATTGAACTGTTTGGCCTCCATTCTAAATGTTATGTCTGGAGGAAACCGTGCACCGCTCATCACCTGGCCCAATACCATCCCAACAGTGAAGCATGGTGGTAGCAGCAGCATCATGCTGTGGGGGGGTTTTTCAGCAGCAGGGACTGAGAGACTGGTCAGGGTTGAGGTAAAGCTAAATGGAGCAAAGTACAGAGATATCCTCAATGAAAACCCTTTTCCACAGCGCTCAGGACCTCAGCCTGGGCTGACATGACAATGATCCTAAGCACACAGCTAAGACAGCACAGGAGAGGCTTAGGAACAACTCTGTGAATGTCCTAGAGTGGCCCAGCCAGAGCCCTGACATGAACTCTATTGAACATCTCTGGAGAGACCTGAAAATGGCTCTTCACCGACGGTCCCCATCCAACCTGACTGAGCTTGAGAGGATTTGCAAAGCAGAGTGGCAGAAAATCCCCCAATCCAGGTGTGCAAAGCTCGTCACGCCATACCCAAAAAGACTCGAGGCTGTAATTGCTGCCAGAGGTGCTTCTCCAAAATCTACAGGGATAGGATATCTTTAGCTTCTTAGTAAGAAATGATATATATTGTGATGTTTGGGGAATATAGCCCAATGATGAGCGCTAGGTGACCACTCCTGAAGCCGACTTGAACATAAACAAGACAGTCTTTATTCTTCTTCAACATAAGGCCCCATTCACACTGAGCGATTTATCGCGCGGTAATTCCCGCGATATCACGGCTATTTACCGCGCGATATCGCTCTCCAATGCATGGCAATGGGGCTCTGTCCGTCGCTGTCGCGGGTTGTGCGTCGCTACAGCAGGACCCTTTTTTGGAGCGGTTTTTGCCGCGATTCTAGCTTGCTCAATGCAAGCATTTGCGCGATATCGCGTAAAATGCAAATCGCACGACAAACGCGTGATTTGCGAATCGCTCAGTGTGAATGGGGCCTTAATGAAGCGGTACAGTTCATGCACTTCTTATAATAATCCGCTTTTCCTCAGCATATACAGTCCTCAGCACACCTCTGTGTGCTACTCGCACTGCTCACCCCTCGTGAGCACTCGGACTGCTCTCTCAGCAGTGTGTCCAGCAGGTCCCTTGGGTCACCGACCTCTCCTAGCCTTCCCTGGCTGTTCACGTGCGTCCAGCATGCACCCAAGTCTGCTTGTGGCTATCTGCCTCCTGCACGCCCACACACAACTCTCCCTGGAGCTCTGGGCTGGCTTCTTAATGAGAATCCTCTCAGCCCCTTGATCAGCCCAGGCAGGTCATTGGCAACACCTAGTCCCAGGACTGGAGATTTCATCCCAGCCAGAGCTCTAAGAAATCTCCAGATCCCAGCTAGAATTCTGAAAACTTGGGAGAATCTGAAAGGCCAGGTCCTTCCTTATAAAATGGTTTATACTCTGGATCCTCTCAGCCCCTCTGACTGAGAGTCCTGGGTGCCATAGTTGCCAAACTACATAGTAGTCCTTTCAGGATTTTCAGGAACAAAGTGTCAGTGTAAAGGTAGGTCTATCCACCACCCAGCCCACTGATACTTTCCTTGCTCTTGAAAACAAGGCGCTGGATTTGGACCTGCGCTGAGGTCAGATTGGAACAGGACACAGTGGCTTTGGTAAGGCTGCTTTCCACACAACAGGACACCTTTAGCTAAAGGAGGCACAGAGTTGATCCATGTGTACAAAGTCCAATAAGAGCGGCAAACAAAATATTTAAGAGCCCAAATTCCTTTAATATTAGTACTAGTTCACAAGAGGATAACAAACCCAAACACTCTCCCCTTTCTTCAGGGCTCAGATGTTAGACCTCCTCTATCACTGTTTTGGTGCTTTCGTTTTTTAATAGATTTGCTTCACTCAGTACCAGCAGCGTTCTCCTGACAGTGACTGCTGGCATCTTGTAACTTACAACTGAGAAATAGTTTTGCTGTTGCATGCCATCTCTGTGTCCTGCCATTTACAACATGAGAGCCCTGAAGGGGGAAACTTTTTGAGCCCCCAAAACACGTTAGCTGTTTTGTGCGATCCTATTGTGAACTAGTATAAAGGAATTTGGATATTTGAACCTTTTATTTGGTGCTCTCATTGAATTTGTTCTCCTGAATAGGTGGAGTGACAGTGCCTCTTTAATCTTCAAGACATGTCTGTGTTTCTCTGTCTACATATGCTTGCACATAATATGAAAGGAGAGAGGATGGTCAGGGACAGATCGACAACTGCAAAGCATTAGGAAAACAGGAGTATTTTGTTTCCTGCTTACCTTTTTATATATTTCTTTTTAATTGTTCCTTCTTTTCACAGGCACATTCAAGAGGTTGTAACTTTACAGGCCCAGCAGAACAGAGAACTGCAGGAGGTATACGCGCGCCTGCGTATGTTTAGAGAGAGCAAAGCACAGGTCTCCGATACTTCCTCCCAGCCAATGTCCCCCCGTCGTCCCAGGTCACTAAAATGTAAGCAGCGGAGCAGGACCCATTCTTTCACGCACATGGACAATGGACTTGTACATTCAGGTGGGTGGATTAAACTTAAAATACATGGTAGGCTTGTTTATAGAAAGTGTCTCCATCAGTGGTACTTGGTACCATCGCTGTTGGATTTATGGAGCTGATCTCTAGATTAATACCGATGTTTGGATTATGGTTGTGCTTAGGGTCAGATTTAGGCTTTGAAGTTAGGTGGCCGTGGTCCACGGCTAGAAGGACTGCCAATGGTTGGGGTAAGGGGGTCCATGGAAAGTAGTTGGGGATAAAGTTATGATTTCTGTGAAATGAAACCGCTTCATTCTCTCATCCAGAAATAGCCACACTCCAAGGGTCTTCACCGAAAATAAGTCTTTATGGAGCAAATACATACTGTAAAGGTCCTCCCCATGTATGCTCAACCACTAATGCATCTCACCATTCTGGTGCGCTTCATTTCTTGTTTGACTTGCTTGATTGTAAGATCTATTGTGAAAAATGTACAGGCATGCACAGATTAAACAGCCATCAAAGAAGAAACCTTGACATGTTTCGCATGAAGTGCTTAATCCTAAAATGGCCGCTCCCTTGCAATAGCAAAGTCTTTGTTGTCTAGAAAGTTTATAGTTTAAGTGAGATCGCTTATGGGTAACTTAGAGGAGTTGTAAAGTCCCAGCATATTCTTTCCTGGTATAATATCAGCATTGTAATGGGAATACATACTAGAGTCGTGTTTGATAATACAATCAAAGCTTACTTGGAGAAAAAAATCCCAGTAGGGCCGGAGTTTGGCTACCCCTGCCTTAAACTAAAAACGTTCTGCATTGATCTATGGCTAATACTCGACTACTCTTTTGATAGGTTTTTAGGTTTAGTGTTTGCTGCTTCAGAGTGTGTGTGTGTACACAGTTTAGAGAAGGTTTTTTTGACAAAACTTCATGTTTCTAAAACTTTTGTCTTCAGAAGCAAAGTTTTGGCTCATGCAGATAATTTCAGACTCTGTAAAGCTTCACACTCCAGGGTAAAGCAGACCTTTTTATGGGGGACACCAGTGAAGTAAGACTAGAAGCACATGAGAAGAGGATTTCAAATTTTGTTATTTATTGAGCAATACGCTGGACCCTTGGCTTTGTACACTGTAAGTCCCTGTTCACACCTAGTCATTTTGATGCTCAAAGCTAAGCACGACCAAGCTCTCAACACAAACCCCATTCATTTCCATAGCCCCTGTTCACACCTGAGTTTTGTTGCAAGCTGTATAACGCTGAGTGCAGGAAAAAGTACATGAGCCTCTTTTTTTAATTTTTGCCACATTACATTGTGTCTGATCCCGTGGACTTCAATGGAAACGGCTGGAAAAGCATGACACAAGCGTTTTGCAAACATGTGCGTTTTTGCACACGCTTGTCCATTCACCGCAATGTCTGTCAATCTGCTTGTTAAACCGCGTGCCAGAATATACAAAACGCGTGCGAATATGCGCAAAAACCCTGACGCCTAGCTATGAACCTTACGTTTTTTGGGGGGAGAAAAATATTTCTGCAAATGTTAGCACTGACATTTGGTTCATGTCACTATAAACACAATTTTTTTTTTTTAAATCTATATTTAATAAATGGATCAAAATGCTACATTTAAGAGGAAGCCGGAAGATACTGCAATCTTGATTCTATCATACCAATATATTTATTTTCATAAAACATTTGTACCTGTTCAAAAATACTTTGTATTTCCCCATAAATAGAAAAAGGGTTATCAATATTTATTTTAACAATCAGTTTTTTTTTTCAAAAACTTTTATTCTGTTTTCGCGGCCAACCCCCAACGGGTATAACCGTACCTTACCATGACATACAATACAAAGAATACGAGGTTTTCTCACAGCTAACCAGAAATAACTTTCCAACATTCCCGTGCTGGTTGCCCCATTAACTATAAGCAATATTATACAAGTCTTTTGTTGCTTCCATACTACCCTGCTATTTCCCTAACATCCTTGCTTATTACTGAGTAATAGACTAACCAATTAAGCAATTAATAACAATTTGTAAAGTAATGATGGTGAAATGGCAGGCTGCAGTCTTGATGACATTTTCTCTTTACTCTTCAGACCAACAGGGCACTGAGAGCAATTCGGATGCTAGTCAGCAGTCGGTCTTGGGGAAGAAAAGCATGTTCACAGATGACCTGCACAAATTAGTGGATGACTGGGCCAAGGAGAATGCAGGCAATGTCCATCAAAAACCCAGCCTGAATCAGATCAAACAGAACCAGAATCGGTCAGATTCAGAAAACTGGAATCGGGTTCATGAGGTAAGAAAGCAGTGCTGGTGTGCTTGTCTGGTTTACAATCATATTCTTAAACCTTTGTGGCCCAAGCAGTTCATATTATCTCATTTAGTTCCGTTTCATCCAATGTATACATACCCTGTTTCCCTGAAAATAAGACCTACCCCGAAAATAAGACCTAGTACTATTTTTGGGAATTGCTAAAATATAAGACCTACCCCGAAAATAAGACCTAGTTGTGACCATTCCCAGGGCCGGTGGTGGCATAGGGGGAACTTGGAGAGGCAGGAGAGAATCAGCGGTGCCAACGAAGCCAGAGCGAGAGGCAGCACTGGAGGGAGCAGAGCCGCATAAGCCGATGCTTCCTCTATAGCGCCGGCTCCTGTCACAGGCGGAGTGATACCAAATGCACTCCACCTGTGAGGAATCCATAGTGAAAGTGCGCTTCGCTCATTCTGGCCAGCGATTGGTTAGCAAATTTCTCTTGGAAAGGTACGGCAACCCTGATTGCCCTGATCACCATATTTTTGTACATGAATACATGTAGACTTTTCTACAGGAATCAGTGCGGATTGTTGTAAATTTTAAAAAAAAAATACCTACCCCGAAAATAAGATCTAGTGTGTTTTTTGGAGACAAATATAAGACTGTCTTATTTTCGGGGAAACACAGTAGTTAAAACTTTTAAGCCCAGTTGAAATCTTAATTTTCCCAAGTCATCTTCCAGGGCAGCACCTCAGAGAGAGAATCCACCCCCCTAAACAGGAAACACATCATCCACAATTAAAATAAAAGGGGCAGTACAGCCCCACCACCTCAGTTTATTGTGTTCCCTCCGGCTTAACAGGAGCATCATAACCGTTTGTTCTTTTCTCTATAGGCCTGCGTGCTAGTTGTAGGGGTCTCCCAGTGTGTGCTCCCCAGTGAATCAGGGACAGTGGACCTGGGGGGTTGCATGCCTGGGCTTGTCCTAGGATTAACCTCCCAGGTTATCCTATTATGGGACCATCTATCCCTGAGGTTTCTTATCCGCCTTGAGGAAAAGCAACCATCCCCGGGTGCATATCGGCTCTAGCAGAGCTTTCCCTTACTCACATTTGGACAGCACAGAGGCAGATTCAGGGACGGCTGGGTAATATGCAGGTATCAGGTGGACACTGGCCAGAGCTGTAAGGACCATCATATAACCCCTCTCTCCAGGATTTGTGTCCTTAGGATGGATGTCTCCTCTCTACTGAAGGAGACGCGTGTAGTTTAGTTACAGGCTGTTTGAGTTCCTCTCTTGGCCACAGCTTCGTTCCCACAATCAGAATGTCTCTTCTCCCTCTGAAGGATCTCGCAGGGGCTCCCTCCATCTTGTTTTACCATCACAAGGTGGATCAGGTCATTGTGAAAGGGAAGGATCCCCCTTTTCCCGTAAAGGAGCACTCGAATAATCTGTCAGTACCTCTTGGGCTTTTCGTCTTCATGCATCTATGCTGCAGATTTGCAAGGCCTTCATCGGGTCTTCTGTTCATACATTCACGAAGTTCTACCAGCTGGATGTTGAAGGATCTGCTGATAGATTTAGCCATTAAGTGATGCAAGCTGCTGTGTCAAGTTAGGGTTTTCCCCCTGTTTTTTGATATGTGGACCTGTTGGTTGTTTTGCTGCGTTCCCCACACCTCGGTTCTGTTGCTTGGGTACGTCCCAGTTGTTTCTGAATCTGCCTGTGTCCTGTACTGTACGATCAAGAAAATAGGATTTTTGAGTTACCAGCAACATCTTTCAGAAGCAGTGATTGCTCTGGTGGCTCTAGGGGAACAGTACACCCTGATTTATGCCTTTTTGTCCCCTTAAACTTTTGTTGCCTGCCTCTGAAAGATCGAGGGGCAGGCATTCCAGTGACTCATTGCCCCGCATTGGCCAGACGGATATGGTAAGCTGATCAGGTATAACTTTATAGCAGATTCACTGTGGGTCCTGCCAGACGGGTTGGATCTGCTGCCCCAAAGAATGATTTACCACCTTACTACTTGTTCGCTGGCTTTAACGCTATGGCTGACCAAGCTCAGGTTTTGTGTGTCATTGGCATCAGAGTCTGTAATTTCGCACATTATCAAGGCTTGGAAGTCCACTTTGTGCAATGTGAAGTCCACTTTGCGCAAAGTCCATCATCTGACATGGAAGGCATACTTTACTTGGTGTGAGTGTAGGGACTTTAACCCCAGGGCTTTCTCTGTGGGATGAATCCGCTCTTTCCTGTAGTTGGGTCTGGACCAGCGATTGGCTCTCAGCACCATCGGAGGTCAAGTCTTTGCATTCTGTTGGCTCTGAAACAGAATTGGGTTCTCCTCATCCCCCTGGAGAGGTTATTGCTATACGATGTACACCTTAGTAGAGTATTTAATCAAATGGGGGCTGCAATGAGGAGTCTTGGTGTCCCTTCGCTGTCTTGGTGCCCAATCCTGCAGTCATTGGGGAAGAGGCCGGTCACATGACTTTGACTGGTAACGTGAACAAGACCTCTCTCTTCTAGCACGTTTATGAATGGGGCTTTGCTTGCTTCAGAGTTACCAGGCAAGTGAAGTTCTAAATAAGTGTCTGTCCTTTTATAAATGCACAGTTTTTTTCCAAGCTGCAATATGGCCACTGTAAGGCCATGTCCCTGCTTTATAACTGGTCCCCTTATCTTTTTTGATGCAGACCCTGTGGGCACTGTTATGATGTATATTGTGAATGTATTTAATATGGCTTGTGGATGTTTTTTGCCATCTCTTATTTTGATTGGATTTTTTTCTTCTTTCCTAGAATTCATCAGCTTCCCCTGGCTATCCACCGACCTGGATTCCCACAATATCTCAGATTCACGGGACTGTTCCTGCTGCTATTTCTTCATCTCTTGTACACCCAAACTTTCCAACAGGAGGAATTCAACCATACCCAGCACCACACACCTGCCAGTTCAATGCAATGGGCAGCACTGGCTACCCAGTACAATGGCCTACCCAGACACCAGGCCTTCCCGCACAGCATCTTGCAGCATACCAACCTGGAATCGGGATGCAAGCATTTCCCTCTGCCACAGCGCAGAAAGCTGCTACAATACCATCATCCCCCAAATGATCCCCCAAAAGACATTGGCCTGTTCTCTGGGATACATACCACCATGCACCCATGCGCTCTTGGTTTAGTGGTTTTAGCCTACCCGATTGAGGATTGGCTGTGATGCAGAGGATATGCTGTAATTTTTCTCCTCTGTTTTGGGGGTGGTTTTTTTTTTTGTTTTTTTTTTAAATCCCAGTAAGTGCTGTGTTGTGTGAATTGGATTTATAAGTAGCCGATCTGCTACATCTAGTCACTCTCTACAATGTTGTTCACTTTTTACATTTGTCGTGGATGAAAATTCCTGGTGCCATACTGGTTTATGAATGTTTTCCAGCCTACAACAGAAGCTGCAGCCAATCCAGTTATTGGGTGAAATGTGAGGGGGATATTTCATGTGACTGCGTTCTCCAAACAGCACCCGGCCTTTTGTACAGGGTTGCACACAGCACAACTGTATCCTGTCTTTTTACTGGAAAAACCCATGATGGCTTCACAGTCTTTTATTCCCGTGTTTGGTTAATAGTGCAAAAAAAAAAAACATTTTCCCCACACACCTATTTTCTGTTTGTTCTCTGTTTGCTGATGGTACACGATTATGCCTTTTTTGGGGGGGGGGGGTTTTCCCCAAAGAAAGTGACAAATGACTCCGTTGTGGACTGTTCTAAAGAAGTGATATCTTTTTTCACCAGCTAAAGGAAAAATGTGAATGGTTTATGCTGTCGTACGACATTTATTAGTGACCTCTTCCACATTGTTTGTTATATATGCTTTATTTTATTCATTGCCTTTCCATCAGTGACTTGGGTTTGCTGCCTCTGAGACCGGGGTTGTTTGATTTCGCTCCGCTCTTGTAAGGCCTTGCTTTGCTGTACAATTTCTACAACTTCTCCAGCTTGAATCTGTCCCCCCCCCTCCCCCCCGGTACCTGCTGTAAACAAAGAGGCCTTTTAGTTTCTGTCTTTAGCACAACTGCTGCTTCTGCTTCGCCTGCAGACTCTTGCTGTGCCTTGGGGGATATTTTACATTTGCCATCTTTGAAGAAATAACCTGCCAGATTGTCTCTTTCTGTGCTTAGACACAGTGGATGGGCTAAGGCAATTTAAGTTAAGCTTGCTGTAGTTACATTTTATACTTGAATTTCTTTTTTGTTTTCTTCCTATTTTGACCCTTTCAGCTTGTATTCTTCTTTTTAAATGAGGGCTATATCAATGCATACAGGTTTGTGACGCTGAATGTGAACTGTTAGGAAATCTCTTGAAATTTACATTTTCTTTAAACCAACTCTTGCGCTAAAATCTGTCCGTTAAATTGTTCCCTGCAAAGAAGACACAAGGTACTGGCCTGTTCTGCTGTTTTACACTTCCAGGGGTGTCCATTTCCTGTTCCCCCCACTGCCCTTCACAGTAGTGATGTAAAAAGGGTAATTTGATTGAACCACTGAGCACAGCAGGGGGCGGTGGATTGAACCACTGAGCAAAGTGGGCCGGGGATCGTACCACTGAGCACAGCAGGTGGCGGTGGATTGAACCGCTTGGCACAGTGAGAGGGGTTTTTTTTGGGGTTGGCTTACACCACTGAGCACAGCAGGGGACGGGAAATCAACACGCAGGATCCTTAGCTGGTGGTTTCACCACCACTGCTGTTCTAGTCAATGTGGGCAGAAGGAGACCTGAATATTCATTGTCTTCTTTGCAGGGAGCCCTTTATTGTACAGATTTATATTTGCAGCAGAGTCGCTTTAAAGTAAACCCGTCGGGATACAAAAAAAACAGGAGCTGCCATTGTGGGTTTGTTTTTGGGGATTGAAGTTTGTGGGATTGTCATCCTGATTCTTTCTTCCCTCTCTGGAAGAAGAGACGGCACGTATAAATGCTTGCTCCAGGTCAGCAACTTACCAAGTTGTAAAATAAAGGAATAGGGTGACAGCCCCATAGTTTGCACCTTTAAAACAATTCAGCAATTGCAGCTCGAATATTTCTGACTTGTACGGGATGCGGGAGCTTTTCATGCCTGGGATTTTTCCTAATTGAAAATTACATAATCTAATTTTCCTCACGGACCATCTCTGGATGGAACTCAGTGGAAACATTCTTATCCCCTTGTTGATTGGGTAATCGGAACCTCTCAGGATCACAGATCTGAAAATCGCAGAGGACCTTGGCTTCATTTCATGTGAATGCTTCTGAGCAGAAATGAGAAGGCCTCCTTTCCCAGAAATAAACCCATCTTTCAGACCCTCTGTAGTAGCACAGATGCTTCCTTCCACCATTCTAAACAAGATCTTTTCTCTTTATATTGTTTTGGTGGATTAAGTCTGTTCTTGTATAAATGAGTGTTCATAAGAGCAGTAATGCACCTTCACATTTATGGTATCGTAGGCAAAGCAAGCAGGGACAATTTGTTCTTGCTGAACAAAAAAAGAAAGTAAGGTCCGCCTCTAAACTAAATGCTCTGAGCATGAAACACTCAGTACGGTTAGGAAGACTTTGGAACACAAAGGTTAATATTTGAGCAATAATTTCAAAGGGTTGCCATATTCCTGATTTTTGTTTCTTTCAAGGAGATCAGAGTTGAGCCATCAAGCCTCGGGTTTCTATAATTAGACGAAAACTTGAGTATCTAAATGTGAAGCAATGGATATCGACTTATGAAGTTTAGGGCAGATAGTCCACATGTCACTTTTTTTTTAAAGTTAGCTCTGGCTGTATAACATGGTATTGTTTTTTTTTTTTTTACTCTTCTGCTTTGTATTAGTAGAATGTATCATTTCAATTGTTCTGCAGAAGTGGCTGTATTGATTTTGTTTTTCCTCTTCCCTTTATGGGATTGCTTTTATTTTATTCTTTTATTTTAATCTACCTCGTCTTGTAGTGCCCATCCTAGACAGAGGAAGCTCACATTGACTTTGTTTCATATCAGAGATAGTCTTCCCTTACCCTTCTGCCTTCCTCTGTACTCTTCCTCTGGCTGCTGGAATAGAACAGCAGTTCCCAACCTGGGGTACGTGCCAAGACATTTGGGGAATAAAACTCCGTAACGGCGGTAGGTTAGGCAGCCAGATTGCACGGTTATGAGTTTCAGTAGCGTACCCAGCCTGGCCCATATAACAACATTGGTGGTTATGGTGCTTGACCACAGCAAGGAGAAGCATGGTGCTGTGCCGCTAGGCAGCCTGTACCATGGAAAGTTATGGTGCTATGAGGCCCGGCCAAACAGTCATTGGTTGTTAGAATGCAGGTGGCCAAATGACAGTGTAGGGCTGCAGCTAATGATTATTTTCATAATCAATTAGTTACCCGATTATTTTCTCAACTAATCGATTGGTTGTATAAAAAAATTATTTCCTCTCCCCCAACCAACTAATCGATGATGAGAATAGTTGCCAAGTTGTCGATTAGTTGTTGCAGCACCAATGAAGCCATACAGGCAGTCTCCTCCTGTATTGTGTGACTGATCTGATAATCAGTGGTAAGTGATGGGGCATGTGTCTTGCCTGGTGTTATGGTGGAACTAATGGGAGTTCACAGCATTTTTACAGAGAGAGCTGCAGGTTGCCCTTTGCCTATAAGGTGCCTTAGAAAGTCACTTGGAATGGTACAGTACTGTAGTAAATGTAAAGAAGCGCAGCATTCAGCGATACGTTAAGTATAAGAAGCTATGTCATCATACAATTTTTTAGGCATTAACAAGATGCTCTGACCTTTGAGGTGTCAGTGCATTTGGCTGGGATCAGGTTTTTATCTCAGAATTGGCTGATGCCGATTTGCTGGAGGCTAGCCCTACTTATTTCTAATATGGTTTCTTCGAGGTCTGACTAAAAGGAATGGATCAGGGCCAGGATGAAGAAATAACTGTTTGCATACCAATGACGCCATGTGGCCAGGCTGGCTGCACCACGGAAACGTATGATGCTGTGTGGCCCAGCCGCCTGCATCCTAGTATCCAACAATACTGGCTGGTGGATAGAGATTAGGGTAGAGAGCAATGAAGAGGGAGTGGAGCAGAAAAGGAGGAAACACACACATTGAGGAGTGAGGGAAAGTAGCACAGGCCACCGGTCACACACACTGAAGAGGGAATGTGACTGTGCAATACTGCTGCACTCCAATAGTGACCAATATAAATGTCAGTGACCTTCAGCCCATTGAATACGGTTTGTTGCAGCGGCGCACTATGCTCACTATTATCCCTGTCCCTTCTCCAATTTGGGTGGGGGGGTTTATCATTTATGGAAATAAGCAGCCAAGTGGTACGTAAGTGCACAAAGGTTGGGAACCATCGTACTAGAACGTACTCTGCCACAACCGCTTCCTCAAGATCTCCTGTGGTCTTTCCTAAAACCGTGAGATGACTTCCACGCAAGAAACTATTCCCATAATCGGGAGAGGTATTTCATACTGCTTCCACAAACTTCGGCACCAGCAGAATGTTACATTGTACAAATATTGGTTTCCCTGGTAAATTGGAATTTCACCATATTCAAAATGGGTAATTGCATTGCAGTAGGATACTTCAGGCGACCCCGTGTATTGTTATAGACTGATGTCAAGCATTACCGTGGGGGTCTGGGGGAGGTACTAACCCCCTGTGTATGATTCAATTATATAAGGAATTTTCCATCTTCCTCAAAAAGTCTGTTATTTATAATTTTACCTGTACCCATATCAGTTAGGTTCTTTTCTTGGTTTCTTTTGTATTCAGTGTTAGATACTTGATTAGGTGGGAATAAGAGTGTGGGGTAAGTAAGCAGTTTGCAGCCATAAAACTGTCAGGGTGGGCACAGAGGAATCCTTGTTTGATTTGTTTGTTTTCTTCACCTGCCCTCTTTTGGGGTGTTTTTGTTTCAGGTCTTAACTTGAAACTCAGTCTGGCAGGTAGAGGAGAGGGGTAAGGCTACTCTTTTTTGGATGTGTATAATCTAGGCATGCTGCATTCCAAATGTGAATTTGCCACATTGAACCGTGTGCATTGTGAATGTTGAAGTGTGATGTTCACCCTAAAATTACACAATGAACATTTTAAATGGCAATATAACACCAGTACCTTTTTATAAACCCGTAGTACCAGGTTTGACTCCTGTCCTTGCTCCGGTTGTCCAGCAATCGGGATTGGAAAAGTGGCG